GGTGATGATGGGGGGCGGTGATGATGGGGGGCGGGGATGATGGGGGGCGGTGATGATGGGGGGCGGGGATGATGGGGGGCGGTGATGATGGGGGGCGGGGATGATGGGGGGCGGGGATGATGGGGGGCGGTGATGATGGGGGGCGGGGATCAGTTGAGGGGGGGGGAGCATGAGTGGGGTGGGCGATGTGTGAGGGGGAAGATGAGAGGGGGACGGGGGGTGGAGAATGGCAGGTCTCTGATGGCATGGGACGAGCAGGTGGCTCAACCATGAGGTGCTGTATCACATGCATGTGCCGCATCCATGGATGTGCAAATTCATTGCATGCGCAGCATACATGCACATGCACCGTCCACGAACATGCTGCATCCATGCACATGCAGCAGGCGAGGGGAGAAGAGGGTTTGACCTGGTGGGCGGGCGTGGGAGGAGGGGATGCGGTGGAGGATGACAGCCGGGGTGCTCCAGTCACACAGGTACACCGCACTCTCTGATGCCACTGCACACGTCACCCCCTCGCCCTCCTGCCGTGCCGTGGGTGTTGCCATAGCACACACGCCCATGGGAGAACAGCACAGGAAGAGCATGCAGTGAGAAAAGGAAAAAAAACGGATGTCTGGCAAAAACTGTAACGACACAGCGCAACGAGTCGCAAGCAGCAGCACTGACAGCGAGGGGAAGAGGCGCTTGTTGCAGCGCCGCCCCGGCATGACAGCAACGGCACACACGCGCTCAGCCTCGCCCCACGGGTCCATGAGCTGCACGTGGTGGAACAGCACGGCCTCGCCGCCCGCCACGTGCCACAGCCCCACGCTGCCACCCTCCTCCACCACCACCAGCCGCTCCTCGTCCAGCCACAGCAGCGGCGCACAGCACGCCATGCGCTGCACCGCGCCCTCCGTCTGCATGCCCACCGCCACGCCACCGTCCCGCACGTCCCAGATGCGCACGTCGCTGCCGCCCGCCTGCACCATCGCCAGCGATGCCCCGCACGGCGCCGCGTGCCACTCGGGCGGCAAGAGGTGCTTCCACGATGGCGGTGCGGGCGGCGGGGGGTGGGCGGGCGGGTTGGGCGGGGAGGGGAGTGGGGACGGGTGTGGAGATGGGGCGGGGAGGGAGGCGGGTTGGGGGGTTGGCGGAGTGAGCGAGGGGGTTTCAGAGGCGGGTGGAGTGAGCGGCACTTTGCCGCCCGGTGCAGCAGCGGTGTGCGGCGGTGCGAGGCGGTGGTGCATGGGTGCTGGTTGCAGTGGGCAGCAGTGGTGTGACGCGCGTGAGTGCAACTCAAGACTGCGCTCCTCTGCTGCACACCTCTGCGCATGCTCGCCTGCACCTGCACACCCCGTGCTGCTCCGCTCCACCGCACTGCCTGCGAGTGCCGCGCGGCCTGCCACTGGCAGTGCGCCATGCTCTGACGCCTGCCTGCTACACCCGTGTCTCGCTTCCGCTGTACAGGGCAACGCTGCTAGCGCGCTGGCATGGCGAGGGGCGTCAGGGAAGGGAGGTGAGAGCGTGGGCGAGAGCCGTGCTTGGGGTGCGCCCACTGCCCCGCCTTGAGTGCCTTGAGTGCCTTGTGTGGCTGCCGGCTTAGGCGCATCGGCAGCGGTGCAAGCAGTGGGGGCAGGGGAGGCAGGAAGGACGGGGGACAGGGGGAGAAGTGGCGTGTGGGGCGGTGGTGAAGTGGCAAGGGCTAGTGAGTGGCTGAGGCAGGGTGAGTGGTGCGCTGGTGGGTGATGGAGGGAAGAGGGGGAGCAGGCGAGTGGCGTGTGGCATATAGGCGAGGGGCGGGTGGTGCGGCAGAGAGAGGGCGAGGCAGTCGAGGCATCTGCTGCTGCGCATGCTGATGGAAGCGGTACCGCGGGTTCACCTTCACGGCACGTGTGAATGCCGGTGGCCGGGGTGGCAGCACCACCATCGCCCATGGCAGCAGTGCGTATGTCAAAGGGAGCGCGCCCATTTGGGGGTGAGGACGCAGGTGAGTGCGCAGGTGAGGGCGAGGGCGAGACAGTGGGGGTGGGAGGGGGGAAGCAGGAGACGAGGCGCGAAGAGAGGAGGTCCCAGCAGCAGAAGGCGGCGTGGGAGCGCGAGGTGGCGAGCAGCAGGCGCGCTGTGAGCCCGTCGTGTGACGGTGCCGCCACCACGTGACACGCTGCCGGCTCGCCCAGCCGAAACCCTGGGGGTGGGCGGAACACTGCCCGTTGCTGATGGTGGTGAGGTGACGCAGGTTGTGGGGGAAATTTGACATGAGAGAGAGGACGGAGAGTGAGATTGGAGTGGACAGATGAGAGAGAAGGGGATGAGAGAGGGGTGTTTTAAGAAGCAACGCGGTGTGGTGGTGGTAGTGCCTCACGTGTATTGCACTGCACTGCATTGCCATTCCACCTCTACTACCTCCCCGCCCCCCTGCCAACCCGCCTCGTTACCACCCGCCCACCCAGTACCTGCAGAGTGCTCGAGTCCAGCAACACGCAGCACCCATTCCAACCTGCCAGCACCACACACTCCCCATCGCTCCCCACAAATCGCCCCGCGGGGTAAATTCCCCTTCCGCCCATCCATAGCCCTCTTCGTCCCCACATCCCCCACCTGCCCCTCCGCCCTCCGCCCTCCCTCCGCCACCTGTCTTTCCCCCCACCGCCGTTCCCCTCAGCCCTGCTCCCCCCAGCGCCGCTCCCCGCACGCCTGTTTCCGCAGCCCCCTGCCACGCGCTCTGCACGGGATGCGGGCGGAAGCGCGGCGAGTCCTGCGCGGTGCAGGGGCGCTCGCAGTCCGACTCGTCGTCCGAGTCGAACCGCCAGCTGCAGAAGCGACACGCGCACGCGCCGCGACGCGCCGCATCAGGGTGCGGCGCCTGCCCGTCCGCCTGCCGCGCGGTCCCCGAGTCGCAACCGCAGTCGCCCCTGCTGCCAATAAGCTCCGCGCCACCCGCCGCGTCGATGTCCGCGCGCGCTGCCGCGGCGGCGGCGCCCTCGTTGTCACGAACCCGCAGCCCCGCGTGCCGCTGGGCCTGCTGGGCTCGGCGGGCCTTGGGCGAGCGCGCGGGGGAAAGGACGCACGGCGAGCGACGGCCGGCCTGGTTGCCTGCCGCTTGCACTCGCCACGGCTCGTTCTCTCGTGGTGACGCGTCGCACTCGCATGCTGATGTGCCATCTTCGCTGGCGTGCTGATTTCGACGCGGCTGAGCGATTGGAGTATTGCGAGGCGATTCGCGCGACGGGCAATCGCGGAGCGTCACTCGTGGCACTGCAAATTCTCCTTCCTCGTTATGATTACGCCTGCGCCGCTTCATTCGTTGACTCCAACCGTTGTGGTAGCCGTAGCGATGTGCCTAGTGTATGCACCGCATGGCATAGCTGGTTGTGTTCACATGCACGGAGATGCTGTTGTCGTGCGAGGGTGGGAGGTGGATGGTGCTATCTCAGGTTGCCTGTGGTAGTGGGCCAACGTGATAAGGGCATGTCCCACGAGTTCGTTTACACTTCAAGTTTGGGGTTGCAACCCTATTTTCAGTCTGTAACCATTCTCTGCATGACATCCGTCTTCAATGACGCACCTGATGAGACCCCTATGACGTCAAGAGGTTCGTACTCCCGACAGACAAGGTACGTGAGATCACCTCGTACCGGGTCCTCCATTCCGTTACCCCAATCTGGAAATTCGCGCACATTCAGTTGCACATTCAGCTCCTCGGCACCCCCAGGCTCCGCACCCCCAGGCTCAGTACCCTCAGACTCCTCACGGTCAGGCTCAGCACCCCCAGCAGGACGAGAGTCAACAGCTACCTCGACAGGCTCAACCGGGTCTACCTGGGACACACCTGAGGGAGCGGCACCCTGAGGGGGGAGGGGGTCTGGTACCTCAGCACCTGGAGCGAGGAAGAGAGGCGGGGGGGGGAGCGGGGCAGTGCGGTAGGGGAAGAGGCGGTAGTAGGGGACGGACTCGTCAAAAGTGACGTCCTGAGAGGCCAGGACACGACGCGAGGTGGCGTGGTAGAACTGCCAACCAGGCGCGTCCGGGACAAAGCCAAGGAAGACACAAGGAACAGCGCGACGGGAGAGCTTGTCCGCGGACGTATCGCGAACAAAAGCTCGAGATCCCCAGACCCGAAAACGCGACGCATCGCCAGCCTCTCCCGTCCAACGCAGTGTCGGAGAAGTCTCCGGTAAGGAGACACGGGGCCAGAGGTTGAGCTGATGCGCAGCGTATCGGACTGCAAACGGCCACAGAAAGTGGGGGGCAGCCGCATGAACCAGGGAGGTACGAGCGACCTCCATGACCAAGCCAATGCGGCGCTCAGCAACCCCATTCTGCTGTGGAGAGGCCGGAAGCGTGAACGACTGCTCAATGCCCTCCTGCTGACAGAAGGCCTCCAAGAGGCCAGAGGAAAACTCCCCACCTCTGTCAGAGTGCAGACGGAGGACAGGGAAGTCGGAGCGGAAACGCTCACGGAGCTGGAGACGAGATCTGCGGATCCAAGGGATCAAGACATCAGGGACGTCACCCTTGGTGCGCAAGGGGAAGACCGTGGTGTAGCGCGAGAAGTCGTCAACAACAATCAGGAAGTACCTCTCCTGACCCTGACCACGGACGCGGGCTGGGCCCCACACGTCCATGTGGAGCGTCTGCAAAGGAGCAGTCGTCGGGGGGAAGGAGGAGGAGTGAGGAGCGGCGCGCTGCCGCCCCTCGACACAGGGAAGACAGGGAGGAGCAGGCGAGGGTGGGAGGGGAGGGAGAACCCTGGGAAGACCAGCAACAAGGTCCCGTTTGTGCATGGCCCGAAGGCGCTGCACAGACGGGTGACCAAGGCGGTGGTGCCAGAGGACAGTCTCATGCGCTAGAGAGCGACACGAGCAGGGGGCGGACAGCTGACCTGACGCAGACGCAGACGCGGACGCAGCTACCTGAGGGGACTCAGTGGTCAGTGTGTACAGGTCCGACCCCGGCTGCCGAGTGAAGGTAGCCAGGTGACGGCCCGTCCGAGCACACGTGCAGTGTGTCACGCGCTCGTAGGCAAGGGTGAACTGGTGAACACCCCCGTCCTGGAGCGCACTACCTGCCACCAAGTTCGTAGAGAACGAGGGGAGGTAGAGGCCTGACAGTGTGCCTGACGGGACCGCAAGACAAGGAAGGACAGTAGAGGAGGTCGCAACGACCGGACCCCCAGAGGGGTCAGCGAGGGAGACAGCAACTGGCCGAGCAAGAGGCTCAAGGACAGTGCGGTCACGAAAGAAACAGCGAGAAGCACCTGAGTCCAGGGTGAAGGTGTGCAGTGCTGCAGTCGACTCAGTACCAGGGGGGACGGACTCACTAGCACCTAGAGCAGCAGCCTCACCAGGACCTGGGGCAGCAGACTCACTAGCACCTAGAGCGGCGGCCGGACTGGGCAGAATGCCCGGGTCGGGCGGAACACGCAAGTACTGAGCACCCTCTCCACTAGTAAACATCGCATACATGGCAGTGAGAATAGCATCAAAGTCTAAAGCCCAGATATCAACTCCCTTCTTCTCCAGATCAGCCCAGTGGGGCAGGTCAGTGGCATCAGGAAACTGGGCCCGCCACGCGTCAGTAAGGCGCGCGAAACAACGCTGTGTGGGATGCGGCCTCCCACACTGCTGGCCAGTGCGGTCACCAGTGCGAATGACATACGTGCAGGTAAAGCCACGCTGCGCATACCACTCACGGGCGGCCTGAAGCGACGGGGCGGGCTGCTGACTCTGTCCACCGCCAGCGCCTCCACGACCACCACCGCCACCGCCGCCGCCACCGCCCCGGCCACCTCCACCCCTGCCGCCGCCACGACCACCTCCGCCTCCGCTGCCGCCTCCGCCCCTGCCACCGCTCCCGCCGCTGCTGTCACCACCCCCACTGCCGCCACTAGCCTCTCCAGTCCCACCGCCACCCCCACCGCCACCACTCCCGCCTCCCCCGCCACCACCTCCACCCTTGCCCCCTTTGCCCCTGCGGCGCCCGCTCGGAGCAGACGCAGCCCCGACCTTCTCAGCACCAAGGAGGTCGACAGCAGCAGCAGAGGCGACAGAGGGGAGGAGAGGGGAAGGGGAACACCCCTCAAAGAACGGGGTGCGGGGGTCGCCACGAGAGGTGCCTACAGCGACGATGCTCGCCTCAGCTGCAAGCAATTCCTTCTCGAGGAGGGCAATGGTGAGCTCAGTGGGAGAGCGAGCGAGGAAGTGATCCCTGACTGCGCGCAGAGAGTCAGGGAGGCGGGTGACGATGTGGTAAAGCGTGATCCAGAGCGGGGGGGGGTTGCTGGCAAGGAACTCGTCAGGCATAGCAGCGCGAAAGCGGGCCTCACTGGTCCTGAGGTGGGTGAAGAGGTCAGCGACTGTGCTGAAGGAGGCCAGGTCGGGGAACAGGTAGGGGAGGGTGAGGCGGCCTAGTGCGGCAGAGGCAGGTGAGGAGTAACGAGCAACTACAGCAGTGTACAGGTCCTTAGCAGTCTTGTGCTGGCCAAAGTGCTCGCGCTCATCTAGTGGCAGGGAGTTGCGAATGGCGAAGCGAGCGTGGGCATCACGAGTCTGCCACTGTGAGCGCTGAGTGCTGTCTGCAGTGGTAGGAGGGGCAGTAGCGTGACCGAGGGCATGATCGTACAGTGAGATGTCCTCCTTGGCAGTGAGCTGTAGGAAGAGATGCAGGTCATCTAGCCAGGTTTCGAACTTCACTGGACGGCCCTCAGCATCGAAAGCGAGTACAGGCGGACTAGCCATAATAGTAGCAGCAGTAGCAGTAGCAGTAGTAGCGGTAGCAGCTGCAGCAGCAGCAGTAGCAGTATCAGTAGAAGCGACGGGGCCGCGAAGAGGCGGTGCGCGGGGTCTACGGGGCCAGCGGGGCCTCTATGCGGGGCGCGCGCGGGGACGACGGGGCCGCGGGGACCTCTAGGCGGGGGGCGCACGGGTCGACGGGGTCGCGGGGCCTCTAGGCGGGGTGCGCACAGGTCGACGGGGTCGCGGGGCCTCTAGGCGGGGCGTGCACGGGCCGCGGGGCCACTAGGGGTGGGTCGACGGGGCCGCGGGGTCGCGACACGAGGTGCGCACGGGGCCGCGGGGCCTCTAAGTGAGGGGCGACGGGGCCGCGGGGCCGCTAAACGAGGTGCGCGCGGGTGGGTCGACGGGGCCGCGGGGCCGCTAGGTGAGGGTCGACGGGGCGACGGGGCCGCGGGGCCGCTAAACGAGGTGCGCGCGGGGTGTCAAGGGTGGGTCGACGGGGCCGCGGGGCCTCAAGGTGAGGGTCGACGGGGTGACGGGGCCGCGGGGCCGCTAAACGAGGTGCGCGCGGGTGGGTCGTCGGGGCCGCGGGGCCGCTAGGTGAGGGTCGATGGGGCGACGGGGCCGCGGGGCCGCTAAACGAGGTGCGCGCGGGTGGGTCGACGGGGCCGCGGGGCCGGAATCGGGGCGCGCGCGGGTGCGACGGGGCCACTAAGGGGCAGCGTGCGGGGTCGACGGGGCCTTAAGGGGCCGTACACGAGGGCGCACGAAGGCGCGGAGGGGGAGGCGCTAACGCAGCACTCCGACAGTAGGTAGGTAGGTAGTAGAGGTGGGCCCGAAAAAAAAACTTAGGTCCTAGCGAAGGACCTGCTCTGAAACCATGTCAGAATAACTGAACGAGGAATGAATGAACTAGCTCAGAGTTTGGTACAAGTAGGAAACCCTAACTTTGTGTACCCCCTAAGGTGTAACCCACTACAGCCTACACAATATAAACATACAATGTTTGACACAAGATTCACTGTAGATGCCGCTGCTGCATTTTGAAATGTCGGTGTCACCGCTGCTGCTGCTGCTGCTGCTGCTGCTACTGCGTTAACTGTTGCGGTGATAGTCGCCGACTTGTTTGCGAGTAGTGCTTCGATTCATTGAAGTGTCGTTCTCGTCCGATCCAGGTCGTTACACCGGGTTGCGACTTCTTGTACGAAGTCGTTGCCCTAGCCCTCCATGCCTACTCACACCGTGTCCGAAATCTGAAAAAGCACGGAAACGATAGTATATACCCGAAATCGATGCTTCCCGTTCGCCGCCCCCGCGGTTTTTTAAAGACATGTTCTTAGCGATTGAAAAACTTCGTGTGTGAACGGGCTCTGATGACCAGGTGGGGGGATCAAAGGAACTGGTTCATAAATAATTGATTGATTGCCTGGATACAACACGAGGTAATATATTGTCTTATTAGAAGGCCTAGTTACCAGGTGTTATGCAAAGGTTCCGAGGGTTGCGACTCGTCCCAAATGGAGCCTTCCCAAATTTGGTAAAGCCATTCGATGGAAACCAAACTGCTCGAATTTTGTGCATGCAATCCTAGTTCGGTGCTATATCATTAACTATATGTACTAAAGCACCTAACCTAGGATAGCAAGCAAAAGCATGCATGATACGATGAACCTAAGCTAGATGAAGCTTATTTAAGTAAAGGCAAGCAACTAATGCCTAGCAAAGCCGTCGTACACTCACAAGATTCATGTCCCCAAAAATGAGCAGGTGCCTGCCCGGCTGCACCGTGCCAACTCTCCGGCCCAGAATCCTGCGAATGAAGCTCTTCTGTTTTGCGGCATCTGTTGGGAAGCATACTATTGCTTAGGTGAAGTGGAAAGTGCCATGTTGGAGGTTTGCTATGAGTAGCTGTCTTGATAGGTGAATCATAGTGTTGTGGAGTGAGATTCCGTGTCTGTGTCAGATGAGAGAAATCCCTTTGGCCTTTGGAGTTGGTGAAGCGGTAAGGACTGTCGGTGCTTCTTTAAAAATTTAGTACGGATGGTTGTCAGTTTATTTGGTGTCTAATAGAGCGATGATGTCTGCTGCTTATATGCAGTCTCTTGTGAGTTGTTGTTTCGTGCCATCTCCCAGGCCATTTACATTCAGGCCTGCAACCATGATAAAATTCTTTGTACTCATCTAATCACTGCCGTATAACCTTTCCGCATCCACAGGTTGGCGAGATAAACAACTGCGACTACTAAACATGTAATCGCTACTGCTGTACATCTGCTTCGGAGGTGATGCAATGTCAGATCCCGTAATCCTTGCAAATTGCACTCAGGTTCAGCTTCTCGAGGGAGCGGCGAGTGGCAGCACCGAGCTCTTCCAAACACAGTAGGTTCCTTGCAGAGGTGACATGTTCTGCATTAGTCCTGAATGCCTAGCCATGAGCTTTCCCGCAGCTGGCTTGCATGAACAGCAACTCCTCCCTGTTGCTCCTGGTGGAAATGAGGACAAATGCCGGGTTCATAAGAAGCGGGGTGACCAGCGGAGAGGTGCCGAGAGAGGCGCTACAAGAGGCAAGCAATGTGTCAGTAGCTATAAGAGGTAAACAAACAAGTTGACTGTTGCAATAATATATATTATGCACCATTACTGTTGAATATGTGCAAGAGACCCACTGTTAAAATCCACTTCCCTAAGTTATTATGTCGTTCCCTGATGAAAACATGATCGAACTATGTCATAACGGTGACCACCTTAGAGCGGACAGGATAGCAAGGGATAGTGAGCCAACATGGTCGTTCCTCCCAGCAATTGTTGTCGAAACTCATGATGCCAGCGGTGCTTGTCATTTGCATGCAGGATAACCAGGCCTTTGATGACATAAGTGTTAGCGTCAGTGACCAGGTGGAGCACGTGATGGAAGTAGTGGCCTTTGCTGAATGCAGTATGCTTCCGCACTTGGAGCGGATGATCCAATATCACTTGCTTAACCAGCTCCGACGGAACATCAGTAGGTACGTTCCTAAAGTAGTTTCTAGGACATGCGGGTTAGAATACTTCATGTGTAGATAAGTAGCATTCTTGTGATGTAATAAAAAAGTGTGAATATGGGCCGAGCCGCTTGATCGCTGATAATCTACATTCGTCTGTTTGATGATTATCGCATCTGAATTATGCAGGAAAGAGAGATGAAGGATGCAGTAGCGCGTCTTTACGACATAAGCAGGAAGCAGCTCCTGAAGTTTCACTGTGGTAAGAATGTTGTCAGCGAGAATGCCTCATCAACATCTGCATGGTGGAAATGACGGATGCAACTTTCTCAGAATGAATGACAGGAAGGAGCAGGATGGCAGTGAAGCGTAAACGCATGGTAGCATCCTTGGCTTCATCGATCTCCAACTCCTCACCGTAGTCTTCTTCAATAAAGGTGTCGTCAGGCGCGGCTCTTGCCATCGCCTTCAGCTTGTCTTCAATGGAAAGGCCCGAGCCCCCCGCTATCACTTCAGCTTCAGACGATAGATCCTTAGTGACTTATGACGGTTTGCACGGTGTCTTGCTTGCAGGATCAGCAGTGCTAGAAGTGTTATCAGGAGCTGCATCAGACGTGGTCTTAATACGAGAGCCTTTTAAAGGCATTGTGTAATCGTGATAGGTTTTTGGCAGAAGCTTAACAAAGAAGAGCTGATTGAAATATTGAGTTGGTGGTTTGATCATAGATCTGTTAAGTAGCTTGTTGGTACTAATGATAAACCATTGTTCAAGGCCCAAATGTTGAGAAACTAAAGAGAGAACTTCTGCTTTCTTGGCGATGAGCACTATCCGGGTAGCCAACTAGAAATGCCTTAGGTGTTGTCTTAGCATTGTCAGCAGTCTTGGGAAGCACGCGTTGATCGTAGGCTTAGTTCCAGGAACCAGCATAGAACTCCAAAGTGAAGACGATATAATGCTTGCATGATGAACACATAGAGCATATAAACCACTTCCTTCAAATGTAACAAACCCAAAGCGGGTGAAATTAAAGCTATCAGGTAAAAAGGCTTCACGCAATGTGCTTGGCAGGCTAGCGTCAGGCAGCCACGGCGGCGAGCTCAAGGTTGCCATGATCATGTTAACTTGTTCAGCGCGATAACATGCTAGTACTTGGGTGTGCCATAGAGTTCTGGATCTTGGACTTGTACAATGTTGGCTTGATTAGGATTGTGTTGACATGAATATTAAAAAAAAAAAATCAGGTAGAATAGGGTTACCGTAGAAAGGTGCGAGCTCCTTGTTTGAGTAAGTGAAGATTGATACAAGCATTTCCGAGGGTGCAGCGAAATCGCACCCACTACTATTGAAGTAACACATGTATCGCTATTGTCTTAGCCCATATAATGCCTATTGTCACGACCGTTGACCAACCTGGACCGAACAGGCATAACTGCCTCTACAGGCATAACTGCCTCTACAGTTACAACCAGCAACACGATAACCGAATGATCGCAATAGTCACTTGCACTGTAGCGATGCCTATATTATAGCTGGATAAGGGAATGGACCAAGCGTTCATCAAGCAGCTCATCACCTACATCAACGCACTGTAGAGCCACCATCAACCCATGAGCATTGACGGCTCTAGCTACGCCATAAGACCTCACAATCCTAAAGGATCTTACTCCGAGCGGTCGTTTACCTTCGACAACTGCCGAGCTTAAGCAGAACACACACATTACGAAGCAATGGCGTCAATACGGAAAAAAAAAATCCCTCCATCTCGCAACTGAAAATGACCACGCTCTTTCACAGGACGTATTATTACACTGGAGCTTTGAATTTGAATTCCTGGCTCAGAGTGAGCGGATCTGGATGTATTACGACGAATTACAACTATTTCTAAACGATGGCTCACCTCAGGAGAAGACACAGTACTACAACGAGTCGCTGCTCACTTATGTCGTCCTGACCCACAGAGTAACTCGGGATCCGTTTCTTAAAGAACCAGTGGCCGCCTGCGCTACAATGTTAGGAGTACGTGCGCACATTATACATGAGAACAGACTGAATGATGCCTGACTCAGCACATTACACTTCTGACTTCACCTGGGGGGTAGGAGATTTTTTCCAAGGCTTGAACAACTTCTCGTGAGCCTGAAATTTTCCTCCAAGCCTTTGCAGATGTGTAGGGTTCAACTGTGGGCAATGGGGAGCCTTAACACAGTGCTGCGGGGAGAGAATAGTAACTCCACGGAATGCACAAACCTTTTCTACGCTCCGTAGTACTTTGCCCAACTTCTTAGGTACCTGAATAATTTCTAAATGCTCTTTCTTGGCCTCTAACTCTCCCCTGAAATTTTCGAAGGCTTGAAAACCTCGAGAAGCAATATTTTCCGTAAGAGTATCTTTTTTGGATACTTTAATGAATTCTTGCTTTTGTGGGTGACTGGAGTTTCCCGGTCGGTGCAGAGTCTTTTTTCGCGGAGCCTCCATTTGCCTCGGCGATTTCCCCTGATGCCGGCCGGTCGTGACGTTTTATATTCGCGCCATCATTTTCTCCTTTTTTCGCCTGCTCCGAAGTCGCCACGCCGTCGCCTTTGTTCGCTTTTCGGATCTTTACGCGATGGCCAGGTCGATCCGCGGCTACGGGTGATTCCCGTTTTTCTACTTCGGCGGTGCTCCGCTGTTGCCGCCCAGAAGTGCCGCACGTGCCTTCTTCATTTTGTAGCACGACAAGATTTGATGCCCTGCTGCGCCGCAAAATTCGCATTTGTCGGCTCCTGCTTCGCGTCGAATCTGTCGATATCCATCGGTTGGGCGCATGAGGGGGATGCCGATCGCTCCGTGCCGAATGTACGGTTCGACCTGTCGCGTTGTGTTTCGGGTTGACCACGCGTCAACGCATCGTAACGTCCGGCTGCACGTACGAGGTCGCGGTAGTTATTGTACTTCGCTGTAATAAGCTGCCGGAAAATCTCCATTTTTAACCCTTCTGTGTACGCCTGGATTTTTTCTCCCTCGGTCAGGTCGATGATTCGGTTAGAAGTCTGCTTCATTTGCTGCGTATACTGTGCTACACTACCGTACTATTTCTGTTGGTGTATCTGATGCCGCGCCATGTACGTGGATATTATTGGTTCGAAACGTTCGATTAGGTCTGACCGAAAGTGCGCCCACGTTTTCTCCCCGCGGGCCACATCAATGTAATAAATCCACTCAAGTGCTGGTCCCCGCAATAGTGTCGCTGCTGGCCGAATCCTTGCTGCATCATTTGTCGGGGTCGAACAGCCAACGACCTCGAAGTAATTTTGGAGGGTCGCCACGAATCGTCGACCGTCTGATCCCTCCGCGCTTGGATTGAACGCTACGGGAGCCTCGGGCGAGCTGCTTCGAGGCTTGGCAAAGGTGGTGCCATTGGTTCGTGAAATGTCGGTGTCGCCGCTGCTGCTGCTGCTGCTGTCGCTGCTGCATTTACTGCTGCGGTGGCGGCTACCGATTGGTTTGTCAGGAGGGCTTCGATTTGCCGAATCACCGCTTGCGTCTGTTCCACGTCGGTATGAAGGCTAGCGATGTCGCTCGTCGTCGCGTAATTGTCGCTTTGGCCCTCCATCCCTAACATGCGCGTTCGAAAACCGAAATCGAGGGGGAGTGAAAAACACGGAACCGCTTTTACGTACCCGAAGTCGGTGTTTAACAGTCGTCGCCCCCGCGGTGTTTTAAAGACCCATTTTTAGCGATCGAAAAACTCCGCGTTAAAACAAGCTCCGCTACCAAGTGTAAGGATCTAGGATCGAGCTCAGAAAAGAGAGTTGTAATTGAATGATCCACCCGGGTACAACACGAAGCTATATATAGTATTGACACAAGGCAGGTAACCCAGGTGTTACGCAAATGTTCAGAGGGTTGCGAAGCGTCCCGAACAGAACCTTCTCGAACTCGGTAGGGGAAGTCGAATAGGCTTGAGTTCGGTACACGTAACCTGGTTCGGTGCTATAATAAAATATAGGAATGCACCTAACCTAGGAAATCAAGCATAACTATGCATGATAAATAATACCAAGGCTAGTAATTGCATAAGAATGTCTAGGCAAGCTAGCAAAGCCAGCATAAGGCGTCGTACTTTCACAGCTCGTCCATGAGATACTGCGCCGCCGAAGGTGAAAACGTAGCCATTTGTGCCGCTGCACGTCTGCTTGTGACTAGCGTCGTCCTCGTCTGCGTAGCCCACCAATTTCGAAGTCTCGGGTCCGCGAGCGAAATTGTGCGTGTCGGCGAGGTAGGTGAGGCATGTCGAACATTATATATGTTGTGTTTGTGTAGGCTGTAGTGGGTTAGCCTATAGGGGGGTCACAACATTAGGGTTTCATATTTGTACTCACAATCCTTTCTAGTTCACCATTCCAGTCCGTTATTACTGACATGGTATCAGAGCAGGTCCGTTGCTAGGACTGTTCTTAGGGCCCACCTACCTACCTACCTACCTACTGTGCGCCTCGTGCGCCTGCGCGTCCTAGAGCGCTCCTTACCTACCTACCACGCGCACGCAGCTCGCTAGCCGCCCGCGCGTGGCTTTCCTTTTTCTTACCGCGCGCACAGTGCTAGCCGCCCGCGCGCGGCCGTTTTTCTCGCGCGCGCCTCGCCAGCTGCCCGCGCGCGCTTTATTTTCTTCGCGCGCGGCCCGTCGCACTGCCTCCCCGCTGCCCGCGCGCCTTTGCGCTGCTGCCCGTGCGCCTCGCGGCCTAGCGCACTGCCCGCCGCTGCCCTGTGCGCCACGCTGACGCACCCGCTGCTGCAGCCGCCCGTCGCCTGCTCGCGCACGCCCCGCAGGCCCGCAGCCCGCCGTCGCAGAGGCCGCACGCCCGCTGCCCGCAGCCGCCCGTGCGCCGCTGCCACTACCGCTCGTGCGCATACGCAGCTGCCGCCCGTGCGCTGCTTCCGCTGCTGCTTGCGCGCCGCTGCCTGTGCGCCGCCGCTGCCTGTGCGCCGCCGCTGCCTGTGCGCCGCCGCTGCCTGTGCGCCGCCGCTGCCCGTGCGCCGTCGCTGCCCCTACGCTGCCGCTGCCCGTGCGCTGCCGCTGCCCGTGCACCGCTGCCCGTGCGCCGCCGCTGCCCCTACGCTCCCGCTGCCAGTGCGCCGCCGCTGCCCGTGCGCCGCTGCCGCCCGTGCGCTTCTGCAGCCGCCGCCCGCGAGGCGCTCGCTCCCACTGTTTTTTCTACCTACCGCGCACACTGCTGCCACTGCAGCTGCCACCAGTGCGCCGTTGCAGCTCCTGCTGCCACGCTACCTACTACTGCCGCTCGTGTGCCACTACGGACAGTCGACCCCGCCCGCGCCTTACCTAGCGGCCCCGCCGGCCCCGTTGACCCTCCGCACACCTTTCCAGCGGCCTGGTTCCTACTCCTACTACTGTCACTATGGCTAGTCCTCCCGTTCTAGCTTTCGATGCCGAGGGCCGTCCGGTGAAGTTCGAAACCTGGCTAGATGACCTGCACCTGTTCCTACAGCTCACTGCCAAGGAAGACATCTCGCTGTACGACCACGCCCTAGGCCATGCTACTGCCCCTGACACGTCTGCTGACAGCACTCTACGCTCTCAGTGGCAGACTCGTGATGCGCACGCTCGCTTTGCTATTCGCAACTCCCTGCCGCTAGACGAGCGCGAGCACTTCGGCCAGTGCAAGACTGCTAAGGACCTCTACACCGCTGTAGTTGCCCGTTACTCCTCACCCGCTTCTGCTACGCTAGGCCGCCTCACTCTCCCCTACCTGTTCCCCGACCTAGCCTCCTTTCACACTGTCGCAGACCTCATCACCCACCTTAAGACTAGTGAGGCCCGCTTTCGCGCTGCTATGCCTGCCGAGTTTCTCACTAGCAACCCCCCCCGCTCTGGATCACTCTCTACCACATCGTCACCCGCCTCCCTGACTCTCTGCGCGCAGTCAGGGACCACTTCCTCTCTCGCTCCCCCACTGAGCTCACTGTTGCCCTCCTCGAGAAGGAACTGCTTGCAGCTGAGGCGAGCATCGTCGCTGTAGGCACCTCTCGTGGCGACCCCCGCACCCCGTTCTTTGAGGGGTGTTCCCCTTCCCCCCTCCTCCCCTCTGTCGCCTCTGCTGCTGCTGTCGACCTCCTTGGTGCTGAGAAGGTCGGGACCGCGTCTGCTTCGAGCGGGCGCCGCAGGAGCAAGGGAGGCAGGGGTGGGGGTGGTGGCGGAGGAGGTGGGGGTGGAGGCGGTGGGAGTGGAGGTGCTGAGCCTGGGGGTGCTGAGTCTGGGGGTGCTGAGACTGAGCGTGCTACACCTGGAGGAGCCCTCTCCTCCCAGCAGCTGCAGGAGAGGTACCTCGAGTACTGCCGCCTCCGGAGAGGTGCTGCTGGAGCTCGTCCCGGTGCTTCCCCTCCTACCCAGGAGCTCCCCCCCATTCAGCAGATCCGAGAGTGGTACACACGCCGCTGCAGTCTTCGGAGTGGTCCTCCGGGTGCTGCGGACCCTGGGGGTGGCGGTGCTGCTGGTGCTGAGGACCCGGGCGTTGGAGCTGCTGCTGGTACTGAGTACTTGGGCGTTGGAGCTGCTACTGGTGCTGAGGACCCGAGCGGTGGCGCTGCTGCTTGTGCTGAGGACCCGGGCGCTGGAGCTGCTGCTGGTGCTGAGGACCCGGGCGGTGGAGCTGCTGCTGGTGCTGAGGACTCGGACGTTGGAGCTACTGCTGGAGCTGAGGACCCGAGCGGTGGAGCTGCTGCTGGTGCTGAGGACCCGGCCGGTGGAGCTGCTGCTGGTGTTGAGGACCCGGACGTTGGAGCTGCTGCTGGTGCTGAGGACCCTGCCGCTGGTGTCTCTGCTGGTTCTGGAGACGCTACGCGGCCGCGACCGTACTTCGTACCACTTCTTCAGCAGGTTCTTGGTCAGGCTCCTCCTCCTTGTCCTCCTCCCTCCGTAGAGTGTCCTCCGCCTGTCCAGTCGCAGTCACAGTTCCCGCCTGCCTCGCCTCTCCCTGCTCCCTCTCCTTACATTGGTCCCACAGGAGGTCTTACAGAGCGTCGTGAGCCTGAGTCTCGTCCTGCGTCGCCTGTTCGTACTGCTCGCACTAGTCGTCGTGTCCCACGTGAGCGTCCTCCTCCTGTCCCTGGCACTCACTACATGACTCTGCGTCCCTCCACTGCTCCTCAGCGTGTCCCGCTACCGTCTCCTCCTGCTTCCTCTCTGCCTACTCTTCCTGACCCGGAGTCTGACTCCCGTCGTGCTGCCAGTCCCACTGTCACCCGTCTCCTCGCTACTGTTGTCACTGACCCTACCTTTGAGTCCTCTGCTGCGTCTGCTCTAGTCGCTGAGTTGATAGACTTTGCTGCCCGGTGTCGTCTAGACTACGCCACTAGCCTTGTTGCTGAGTCTGAGTCTGTCTGTCCTCCGTCCGTCGGGGGTGAGTGTGCTCTTGGCACGGACGTCCTTGAGGACAGACAGGAGGAGTTCCAGTGCTTTGCTGCTGCTTTGCCCCACCTCGTGTCCATGCTAGTTGCCCCTGAGGGAGACCCGGATGCACCAGACATCCCGACCCCGCGCACTTACGCTGAGGCGATGGCGGGTCCCTACTCCTCTCAGTGGCAGACAGCCATGGACGCAGAGATGGCTTCCTGGAAGTCCACACGCACCTACGTCGACGAGGTTCCCCCACCTGGGGCGAACATCGTCAGTGGCATGTGGATTTTCAGGGTGAAGCGGCCACCGGGTTCTCCTCCTGTCTTCAAGGCGCGCTACGTGGCTCGAGGCTTCAGACAGCGAGAGGGAGTTGACTTCTTTCAGACCTTCTCCCCCACCCCGAAGATGACCACTCTTCGGGTGCTGCTGCACATAGCCGCTCAGCGCGACTACGAGCTTCACTCACTTGACTTCAGCACTGCTTTCTTGCAGGGCAGCCTGCACAAGGAGATCTGGCTGCGCCGCCCTCCTGGCTTCACTGGGTCGGTTCCTCCTGGTACCCAGTGGAGGCTTCAGCGGCCGGTCTACGGTCTCCGCCAGGCACCGCGTGAGTGGCACGACACACTGAGGACGACACTTGCGGCTCTTGGGTTCGCTCCCTCTACTGCTGACCCGTCACTGTTTCTACGCACAGACACCTCACTGCCGCCGTTCTACATCCTCGTGTACGTCGACGACTTGGTCTTTGCCACTGCTGACACCGCGGCACTCGCCCACGTGAATTCGGAGCTGCAGAGGAGACACACGTGCACAGACCTGGGTGAACTGACAAGCTATCTTGGCTTGCGGATCACTCGGGACAGAGCACGGCGCACCATCACCTTGACTCAGTCACACATGGTGCAGCAGATCCTTCAGCGCTTCCGCTTCACGTACTCCTTGCCTCAGTCCACTCCTCTGCCTACCGGTCACTCGCTCTCAGCTCTGCCTTCGGATGAGTCCGTAGAGCCGAGTGGCCCGTATCCAGAGCTTGTGGGCTGCCTCATGTACCTGATGACCTGCACTCGACCTGACCTTGCATACCCTCTTAGCATCCTTGCACGCTATGTCGCTCCTGGCCGTCACAGGAAGGAGCACATGGATGCCGCTAAGAGGGTGTTGCGCTACTTGTGCAGTACGTCGGGCATGGGGCTAGTGCTTGGAGGGCGAGACCGAGTTGTACTTACTGGACACTCAGACGCTTCTTGGGCGGACGACCAGGCTACTCAGCGGTCGTCTCAGGGTTACACCTTCAGCCTTGGCTCCGGCTCAGTTTCTTGGCGTTCTACACGCTCTTCTTCTGTTCTCAGCTCCAGTTGTGAGGCTGAGATCTACGCCACAGCCATGGCTGCCCAGGAGCTACGCTGGCTGACCTACCTGCTGACCGACTTGGGTGAGCGGCCTCGTTCTCCTCCAGTGCTGTACGTCGACAACCAGGCTGCCATTGCCTTGTGTGAGGAGCACAGACTGGAGCACAGAACGAAGCACATCGCCCTGCGGTACTTCCTTGCTCGAGAGCTGCAGCAGCGTGGTCAGCTTTGTCTGCGTTACGTGGCCACTGAGGCCAACCTTGCTGATGTGTTCACCAAGGCGCTTCCGCCTTGTGACCATCAGCGTTTCTGCACTCTGCTAGGCCTTGTGCCTACTGGACCTCACTTACTTACCTCTTGACCTTGCTTGTACTGTGATCACTATATATATATCTACCTGCATGTTTACTCTTGCTAGGTTGTGATCACTGTATCTCATGCTCTGTTATAAACCTGCATGTGAACTGGTCTTGTAACCACTAGCTTGTGCTCGGAATTTGTGTGGAATCCTTGAGATCCACCCTGAGCTTGTTGTTGCCTTGCTTTGCCTTGACTGGTCTTGTGACCCCTAGGTCTCCCCCACTTTGCCTATGGGGGTGTGTCAAACATTATATATGTTGTGTTTGTGTAGGCTGTAGTGGGTTAGCCTATAGGGGGGTCACAACATTAGGGTTTCATATTTGTACTCACAATCCTTTCTAGTCCACCATTCCAGTCCGTTTTCACTGACAAGGTAGCAATCAACCTCGCGCCAGTGCTGGTCACTCCTCACCGTCAGAGCAGACCCCATCTTGCGGCAGCATGCAAAAGCAACGTCGGCCCGAGTTGTCGTGGCGACAAATTGCAGAGAACCAACCTTCTGACGGTACTCCTTTTATTCGCGCGACTGGAAGTCCTCATTGGCAATTGTCAGCTCCGCGTAAGCGTTGACGGAAACATGCGTCTTCAAACGCCGACCAGTCCGTTCTTCGTCGATGAAGCGCCTACGCAGCTTGTCAACGTAGGACTGCTGGTGCAGCCACACCTTCTGCCCTGGACGATCGCACACCATTTCGAGCCCTAGATTCTTCTCACCGGAACTGATCTCGCGCAGCTCAAAGGTGACCTCCAGCAGCTCCTTCAGACTCGCGGTGCTGCTGCTGGCGGCGAGCAGGTCGTCGACATAGACGAGCACCCAGCACGCCAGTCCGCCATCGCCAACTCTGAAATAGAGAGCCTCGTCTACCAGGCTCTTGCTCCAGCCAGTGCCCGTCAATACGGGGTTGAGCGCCGAGTACCACAAAAGAGGGCTCTGCTTCAGCCTGTACAATCTCTCCAGCAGCTTGCATACGCGGCCGGTGCCATCGTTGTAGTAAGCCAGCTGATCCATATAGAGCACGCGGTCGAGCTTGCTCTGGAGGAAGGCCGACGACGATGCTGAGGACAATCCGCAGCGTGACATAGCTTCCAACCGGTGCGTAAGTCGTCGTAGTCGGCGCCGTAGACCTGCGTGAAGCCCTTCACCACCAGGCGGGCTTTTTCACGGGCAACCATGTCGTCGACATGGTACTTTGTCGTTAGAAACCAGCGGTTCTCCATGACATTGACGCCGCGCCAACGCTCCACCAGCTCCCATGTGCCGTTGGTGATTAGACTTCGAATCTCCTCGTCCGTCGCCACTTTCACCGCCTTGCCCTTCCAGCTCGCTAACGCCTCCGTCAGTGTCATGTTAGCGATGTCCCAGCGATGCTCCTGGTCGAGCTCGGGCACGTTAACGTCCAAATGCGCATCGTCGAGTAGAGTACTGTAGGAGGACGGTGGCAGCAAGCATGGTAGCTCAGCTTCTCGCGAGGCTTGCCATAGTTGGAACGGATAGAACGTTGAACTGCGGGCTTGTCGGCAGAGACTTCCACCACGTCGCTGTCGCTGGACTGCTCCCCGTCATCGCCGCTTACAACTTCAACAACGTCGCTCGAGGTGCCATCGTCGAACTGCTCCTATGAAGCGAGCTCCTCGTTCAACGGCTCCCCTGTGAATGGCTTTCCTGTCAACGGCTCCTCTGTCGACGTCTCCTCTGAAATGCGCTCCCCGTTCAACGGCTCCCCTGTCAACGGCTCTTCTAAAACGTGCTCCCCGTTCGACGGCTCCTCTAAAACGCGCTCCCCGTTTGACAGCTCCCTTGTTGACAGCTCCTCTGAAACGCGCTCCTCGTTCGACGACTCCCCTGTCGATAGCTCCTATGAAAAACGCTCTGTTACACGGCTCCCTTGTCAACGGAGGCTTCATTCTGACACCGACTTGCTCGCTGACTAGATCACGCCGACCGCCAGCGATGCCGATGGGCGGAGCCGAAGGCGACGCACCAATGCTCCCCTCATTGCTGGCGGCCGACGTCGATGCTGACTTAGGCAGGCCGGGGGCGAGCGATTGGAGCGAGGTGGGAAGAGGAGGAGGAGGTTTTGACGAGGGCGGAATGGAGGGAGAGGGATCGTCAGAAGGACCATCGTCCTCGGCTTCGAGCAACGAAATCGCCGCCGCGATGGACATGTCAGTGGAGAAATCTTCGTCCACTCTGACTCAGGCCCATGCTCCACCTTTCACTCCTCCAGGGTCATCATCTCATACAAAATTGCCTCCACGGTAGTAACAATGCGGTTGTCGATGAGGTCTAGCTCCTCCCAACCCTTGCTCTCTGGCGAGACTTCAATGTGAATTCCCCAGCATACCTTTGGTGCCAACTTTCCGCCGCGCTGCTGCTCGCGGACCATGAACTTCACCAAACAGCCCCACACACGCGCAACCGTGAGGTCAGGCTTCTCCTTGAACAGCATCTCATACGGCGTCGTCCTCGGAGGAAGCGAAGCCCGTTCAAGACAATGCGCACCCAGACGGCGTGGCGAAGGGCGAGGTGCCACCACTGATACTTCACCCCCATGTGAAGAAGCATCGTCCATACAGCTTGGACGACTATGCGCATCTCCCGCTCCGCCATGCCATTCTGCTGCGGATTGTAGGGGCAAGTGAGGTTGTGGGGGATTCCCTTGTCCTCGAAGAGATCGGTGAAGGCCCAACCAAGGAACTCCCCTCCGCAGTCAGAGCGCAACCGTTTCACCAACTTTGAGGTCCGTCGCTCCAGTTCCTTTAGCAACTTCTTGATGTCTAGACCGATTGCTACTTCATGCTTTGCCAAACTCGTAACCGTATCAACTGCGGAGATAACTCTAGTAACGGGAGCTAGACTACGGGCTAGGCACGGATGCTCGTGTGATCTCTGCGTTCGTTGGTCCTTAGTCGTTTTCCTAGTGCATACACTGCTTGCTAGTTCACAAGGCAATTTGGCAAGAGTTTCACTAGAGAAAGTTGACAACAATGATACAATGAAGTTGGCAAGGCAAGACTACATCAGAGCTAGGATGCAAGCAGGTCGACTGCCAGCGCAGCACGGTCGACCGCGTGCTAGCACGACTTGGTCGACCGCGCTCCAGCAGTGCAGAGACGCGGCTTGCCAACGCTGCAGGTCGACGGCGTGACAACAGCGCAAGTCGACGGCGTGCCAGCGTTGCTCCTGCAGTCCAGCATCGCACCCGCTTCGCAGGTGCTCGTAGGTGATTGGCGCGCACTGCTTCGTCACCTGCACAGAGCACGCACCAAGTCCATCTTGTGCTGACGACTGCATCTCATCTGCCAGGTCGACCTCGGGATACCACCACCGAGGTCGTCCTCGCCAACCTCGCCTGGGCGACCTTCGCGTGCCTTCGCAGACCCTCGTCACCCAGGTAACCTGGTCGACCGGGCAACCACGTCGACCAGGTGCTCCTGTGCGTGCCTGTCGACCTCCCAAGTCGACGGCCACCTCCAGTCGACCTCACCAAGTCGACCACGCCCTCTGGTCGACCAACTCCAGGTCGACGACACTCCTGGTCGACCACCTCCAGGTCGACCAGCATTCTGTTGGCCAACCACACAAGTCGGCTACCCCAGGTCGGCGTCCCCAAGTCGACGCCCTCTGCAGGTCGACTTCTCAAGTCGACCACTCGAAGTTGGCGCCCTCCCGAAGTCGGCGCCCTTGCAGTGGCTCCCGTGCAGGTCGACCAACCCCGTCGACCGGCTCGCCCACTGCTGCAGGTCGGCTGCACCCCTACACCCGACCAGGAAGTCGGCTCCGCCCAAGCGAGGACGGGGCCAACATCCAACTCCCGTTGACATCAACACCGACGTGCACGAGCCTGGCATGCCCATTGTCTGATGTCGTCTTCGTCGCTAAGGCGATCGTCCGTAGAGAAACTGCCTCCGTCAAAGATGTCGTCGATTTCGAGGAGCAGGGGTAGAGGTCGGTGTAGAGGACCCGGCCGGTGAAGCGAGCTCGACCAAGCACATCTGTAGCAGAAACGAGCAGCATCTCATCGCCCTCATCCTGCAGCTTCACGCCACTGTCCTTCACCTGGCCAGCCGACAGCAGATTCGCCTACACGCCCAGAACGTACAACACGTCGCGGATGAGAATCAGCTTCCCATCCTCTCCTTGTATAGCAACTGTGCCACGTGAAGGATTTTGCCTCCTAGCTTCATGTCAAGAAGGCATCTAGTGTCCCACGCTCGGATTCGCATGCGCGGCTGCTGCGACTGCCTGGAAGCCTTCGCAAGCCCCGGGTGCCAGCTAAATTGTTGGCTCGACTACGCCAACCATCCAACACGAAGTTGCACCACCACTCGAAGAGTCTCCCTCAGATTTCGACACCGTTTTCGACGATTCCGGCTTCTCCTTGCGCGGCTGGTAGTCTCGACGACGACGATCACTGTCAGACTGCCCGTCCTCTGATCGACGGGCGTTGTCAGACTTTCCGCGTGTGGGGATCGAATGTAAGGACCGAGGATCGAGTTCAGGAAAGAAGTTCTGAAATGAATTACTTACCTGGGTACAACACGAGGCTATATATAGTCTCGACATAAGGCAGGTAACCTTGGTGTTACGCAAAAGTTTCGTCAAAACGTCGTTTTCTCCAATTTCATCGACCCGGAAGGCTCGATTTCGACGCCATATTGCTCCCGTGGACAAGTGCCTCGTCGACGGGCAGTTGAGTAGAGCAGAAACAACACTTCAATTTCGACGAATTAATCTCATCGAAAATTGACCCGTCGAACAGATATATAATCTCCTGAAATCGTTGATGATCACGAAGCGAACACCGTTGTGCTCCGAAAAGCATGGCGGACTTCGCCCAAGCGAGAGCGGGGCTTCTTCTCGACACTTTTACAGCCCACTCTAATACTACTCATCAAGGATTTTATCAGGTTAGCTCCCATTGTCTTTCAAGGCTAAGTTGACATTGTATAATATTTGACATGTGTTACTGTACGCGTGGAAGGAAACCTATGAACATA